GTTATCCAGGTACTTGGGAGGCTATACCAAGGGGCAGGAGTTCAAGGGCTATAAGGTAGGTTCTAGACCAGCCTAGGCAACTGAGAGAGACTCTGTCTTAAAACTCACACACAATATCTTTTAACAAAAAATTTAGTTTGTTTTGGGGACAGGGTCTCAGTGTGGATCTGTGTACCACAAAGTCAGCTACATCAATGTTTTCAGCTCAGATGGGTCTCATTGGGTAGAGTAATAGCCCAGCATTCAATAGGCCTCTGCATAAGCAGGGCATGGTATTGAAATCTATTATCTCAGTAATTGGAGATGGAGGCAGAAAGGTCATGAGTTCAAGGTCAGCCTGAACTTCATGAACATGTTTTAAAAACAAAACCTCCAAAACAACAAAAAAAAAAAAAAAAAAAAAACCTCAAAAGCAATGATTAACAAAAAAGATCAGGGCTCAGCAGGTAAAGGTGCTTGCAGTCAAGACTGAAGGACATGGTTTGGTCCTTAGGACCCACATGGTAGAAAGACAGGACTATGCCACACAGGCTGTCATCTGATTTCAAATTATACTATTCATGTGCATGCACAAAGACAAGAATAATAAATTAAATCTTAAAAGAGATCAAAAAGAGATATGAGATGGTTTTGTAGTTTAGTATCTGACATGGACCACACAGCAACCAATGCTGCTTGATGACATTGCAGCATTTCAACATTGCAGATTACAACTCTCCAAAATCTTTTTATTTCCATTTTCAATGATTTTCGGTATATGTTATGAGAGTTTCCTTATGTCTTTTACTTTGAAAAATTTTAGGTAGGCTTTGATGGAGGATGAGGATATGTACAATGGCAGTCTCTTTAAACAAAATAATTCTCTGGAAAAAATCCCCACCACAGAATCATATAGCATGATAACTCTGCCTACTCCCGCACAAAAATATGCATTGTGTCCCCCCCAACATGACACCAAGAATAGAGAACTGGATATACCTGGTCCCACAGATGAAAGCACACTATGGAGGAAAACAATGGGCTCACATCCAGATAGGCATTTAGATACTGCTGAACTTACCACTTTTTGCCTCAGTAAAAATGCTGTGATAAGGTTGATGGCTGAATTCATCCCAGAATCATTAAGTCAGTATTCAATTTTGCTTGTGGCCAAACTATTGTGCAATTATAGAGTATAAAAGGTATAGCCCTTTTAAAATAGACCAGCATCTATTCTAATTTACCCTCAGATCTTGTCAGTTTCCTTCCTTTGTTGACTCTATACCTCCTCTTTGGGACCTGGACCCCGTTAGAGCTAGATTCTGGCAAGTAGCTTTTTCAGAAAACACAGTTCAGTTTCCAGTACCCACATGGAAACTCACATCTGTAACTTCAAAGTTTCAGGGAATCTAGCCATCTCTTCTTGCTGAATACAGTCCCCTTGTGTGTGGACAGGGAGGCAGACTGATAACTAGACTCATGGGGAAATATACCTTAAGGAGAGCCTAGTGGCAGGAGCCATTCATATGGAATAACTCTCTTATCTTCTCATGCCTGGGATCCCAGGTCTATCTGTAGTCGGGTTATGATGTCTGGCAGGAAGCCCAGACCATGTGCTCTAGCCCTTACTGGCTGCATCCCAGGTGGAGCAAGTTATGATCAAGGTTCTCACCACCTCCTAAATAGATGAGCATGTTTGTGTAATTATATACTTGTAAACATGTTTTATCACATACTTTTGTGTGTATCTGCAGGTGTGTGCACAGATGCCACTTTGCATATGTGGCAAGCAGAGAACAACTTGAGAATTTGTTCTATCCTTCCATCATGTGGGAGCAAACTTAAGTAAGTAGGGCTGGCAGCAAGCCACATTATTGACTGCTCCATCCTGCTGACTCTACATTTTGAGAAACATGGAAGTAGATGGTTGTGGTAGGTACCTGAGTGTTACTGGTGTATTTGTATCTGTAGGGCATGTGGTGTGTGTGTGTGTGTGTGTGTGTGTGTGTGTGTGTGTGTGTGAGAGAGAGAGAGAGAGAGAGAGAGAGAGAGAGAGAGAGAGAGAGAGA